ACGACCTGTTGAAACTTTGCTTAGTTTCTATAGTATCCATAACATCGTAGATATTTTAACTATTTCGAACAAAAAGTGCTTAAATAATTAATTGGATGCTTATAATACACAACAATTGTTTCTTCCTAAGTAAAACTAAGTAGGAAATTTAGCTGCAGAAATAGCTGCAGCAGCCACTTGCAGCTAGATTATCTAGATTAAAAGATACATTTATCTAGCTTGAACCAGCTGAGCTGAAATACACGAAAATGCCATCATCTGCAGTTAGATTGAATCTAACTTCACATGGATGCAATCAGATGCTATTGAATTAATCGGACAATGAATTAGTGGGAAAACGTGCGCATTTGTGTTTCTTGCATTTTTAAGCGAGAGAAATTCTATGACATCTTTTTGGTTCGTAAAATATGATGGATGTCACAAAACAATTTTACAGATTAATAAACTACCAAAAAAATAAAAATAAAAAGTATTTATTATTCAACATAAATAAATCGAGTCTGATGAAAATCTAATCTTCCTATCATTCCAACATTTACAAATAAATTCTTCTTGAGTTACTTTTTTTGTCTCCATTGACATCCAACATTTTAATTATATTTTTGGCTTGTTTTCTTGGTAAATAGTCATCATTACGAATTGTTTTTCTATTAAATCATACATGGATAAAATTACTTTTTCAACTTCACTTTTATTCAAATATCTGAAGACGAACAATTGATATATATATTCCAAATAAAAGGCGTCCCCATTCCCATCCAAGTCATATATGTCAAATAATAAATTAAAAAATGACTGATATGATATAAAAAAGAACATATACTGAACAAATTTATTTTTTTTCTTGAATTATACTCTAAATCTAGTTCTGTCTTCTAATACATCTTATGAGAGAATATTTTAAATCTCACGTATGAACACCGAAATTTTGTAGAATCTGTTTGATTTGGCCTCATCCATTAACTAATTTATTTTGGTTATTTTTAACTTTATCTACTATTAGTAAATTCATTTGTAACCAGTATGAATTCTGTAAAATCTATCATTTCATTTTGATTTTTATCACTAGAAAAAACACAAAAAATAGTACTAAAACAAGCAGTTATACTACTGTCTACTTACAATTATATGAAGAGATGGTGAAAGAACGTTTTTACATTTTCTTCAGATCATATTTTCTGAATATTTTCTATAAGTTGATATAATACAACCTACAACTAACAATATAAAATCAACTATATAAACCAACAATTATAAAACCTTTGAATATAATTGGAGAAATGTTGCATATCGTTTACAAATCTCATTTCCAGTGTACGTTGTTTTTTAACTAATTAAATTAATTAACGTCATGATGATTATTTACCAAGAAAACAAGCTAATAATATAATTAAAATGTTCGATGTCAATGGAAACAAAAAAAGTATCTTAAGAAGAACGGATGAGGGAAATAGTCTATTTGAATTAAGCCATATCGTGCTGTTTTCTATTTTAATAGTTTCCCTAATGAAAAGGATAAATAAATTTTTTATTTTCGTTTTTTTTATAGAGAGAAAAAGAAAAAATATCCGGTAAAAATACCTAAACAAATATTGTTATAGAAAGTGAGAGAAATTTAACAGTTCTTAACACACATATCACTGAAGTAATTGAGACAAATGAACAGTGAGTGACAAACGTCATAAGAATAAAATAAAATAATCGATTTAGAAAACGTATGGACATTTACGTTGTCTGGAAATGGGTAAAAGATGACATATTTGAGTATAATTGGTAAAATAGTTCAAGATAGTTGGTAGTAAGCAGATACAATATCATCTGTTGATTAATTACCCAAGGTAGTTCTCTCAACGGTGTATGTGAAACTTGGGTGTGAGAGACATATGATGATCAAAATGACATTATTGACCATTTTAATTACGGATTCCTTGATCAACTATTGAATATGAAATTTTTTATGAGAAAACGTGTTATTACAACAGCATCACATGAAAATTCACAATTTTCTGTCACTATAATGGAACTAGAAACTAATTACAAGAGATTCTTTGAAGATTATTGATCATTGACCAATTATAAATCGAAAATATACTCATTTTCTTTAAATATATCCATGTATGGTTTTTAGTTTATCATATCTGCTCACATTTGTTGTTTGAAATAATTGATAAAAACCATTAATTATGTCTATTTCCTAAAAAAAGATAAATTAGTTTATAGGATTTAAACAATTCTATAGGATATATATTTTAATTTTTATCAAAGAAATTTCGAATGTTTTGAATTGCAAATAGACATAGAAATATATACAAATATTCTCCTGAATAGTTACCTTATTTTGTCATTGACAATTTTAATATTTTGTTCTGTTTGTTTAATTGACGGATGTGTCTTTGGTAATGTTAGTTTAAATATGTCCAATGCTTTGTAAAAATACTCGAGAGCAATTTGATATTCACCATTTCGGGAATTAACTGTACCAATATTATTATAATTTGCTGCTATATCATAATGATTTGGTGGTAATGTTTTCGTTCTTATATTTAATGCCAATCTTAAATTATCGAGCGCCTGTTTATAGTCATTTTTATCTGAATAAGCAGTACCGATGTTACTATACAATGTGGCGATGTCTGGATGATTAGCGGGTAATATCTTTGAACGTATATCTAAAGCTTTTTGATAATTTTTCAATTCCGCGTCCACTTCACCCTTGTTATAATGTGTCAAAGCAATATTATTATACGACGAGGCTATATCGGCATCGGAAGATGAATTACCATTTTTCACTAAAATCTCGAGGGCTTTTTTGAAATTAGTTAGCGCTAAATCATACTTAGCTTCTTTTGAGTGTATTAATCCAATACTATTGAATAATGTGGCACGATCTGTATGAGATTTTGGCAGTAAATCGAGAGCTTTTTCAAAATGGTTTAGAGCTGTTTCATTCTCATTTTTACCATATTCAATTAATCCCAATCCTCTGTAACATTCTGCTATTGTTAAATTATCGCCAGTTGATGTTTCTGATAGTAAACGTTTATAATATTTTTCTGCTGTATGTTCATTCGTTGATGATGGTGAACATATTTTTCGTGACAAATTACCTAATGTTACAAAATATGATAATTTCTTAGTTTTATACTTTGTTAATTCATCTTGCATATAGGTGAATAATTGTGAAAAATCAGAATTTGATTTTTCATCATAATAGGTTAATTTGATTATCCACAACTCATTATCATAATCATAATCAATTGAATTAATACGAAATATGGTGCCACATGAAAATAATATTTCATTATCATCTTTACTTGGATGCGCTAACTGAGAGATATCACAATAGGGTTTTTTTATAGTTGACGAAGATGAACGTTGTGATGACGGATCAACTTTAATTTCAAAAAACACTCGATGTTGACTAGTTGTTGGTTGTAACCCTTTTTTAACCGTATTTAATGCTCGAGAACGATGTTTTGTTGTCGGCAAATAATTATTGATCGATAATAATTCACCTAAGAAAAAATAATTCATATTCATTGAGTTTTATCAGAAACTCAGGATAAAAAGTTACACACAGTCTGAAAATAGCAGATTTTTTTGTCCAACTACGGAAGTAAAAGTCATTTAAGAAGATAAACAAAACTTTTTTGAGTACTCAAATACTTTAATTGTCGAAACTTACCGACACTTCCTTTAATTTTTGTTAATTTTTCATTTGATACAGCTTGTCCACGATAATACGTTTGATCCAGTGTATTAATGTTTTTTTGTTTAGTAGTATTTTGATTATTTAAAAATTGCAATTGGTACTGTTTCAACATTTGGTTTTGCATGTCATTTATTAGAAATTGATATAGATAGAGAAGGTCAATATTCAGTGTCAGTAATGATTTTGTGAATACACGACTTAAAAATGTTTCTCTTGTCCACCACCACAAAACATTTGACGCCATGTAATCGTCAGAAAATTCATCAATTAGTTTTCGTTCAGTAGAGTTTCCACGATAATATTCCTTACAGACGTTCAATAGTTCGTCCATAGTCGTTGTTTTTGTTGTTGATTTTTTCGGTTCATTTTGTTGTAGTTGGATGATAGCTTGAAAAAATAATTGATACCAAATAAATAATGAATTATCGGATGTACTATTATTAATGGTTGCAGTTGAATTATTCACAGCATCCAAACGACTATAAATGGTAATTGGTAACAAATCATCGATTCGCGATAAAACTTTAACATCTTGCCAAATTTTTTCACATAGAATTTTTGAGTTCATATATACACCTTTCACCTAAAAAACAAGAAAAAGAGAGTCTGCGTATTAAACAGATTCATTTATTAAAACACATTGTTTCAACGATTGTAAAAACAGAAGTAAGTCTTAATCAAACGCGTAGGATTATAGACGTGACGTGCGTAAATGCAGTAATAATTATGATACCGAATGTTTATTTTAACTCTCGTATACTGGAAACAGGTAGGTGAGAAAGAAATGTCACATCTCTTTACTAGTATTGGTGACAAAATCCTCATAAGATAACGCAGCGGTAGTCTCAGCCCTCCCTTTCCATTTAAAAAGTCGATTTTCTTCAGAAATATCCATTTCTAGAAAAGTGCATTGTTTGCTAGCCCCAGGATGTTCTTTCAAATGTAGTAAATTCAACGTCTTCAAAACATATTTTTCCATCTAGTTTTCTAAAAACCCTACACGAAAAAAACGAACTTTTTCAGTGTTCGTTTTGAATCCCTGCACATGCCCATCAGATTCCTCATGATCGAAAACCTATAGAAAAGTTTTAACAGTATAATAATGAAAAGGCACCAACTACCCTGCGGGCAGATTGAAAAGCTGATCGAATGAAACGTCCTTTAGAAACATTTTAGATACCATTTAAATCCCTTAGACCTTAGCAGAATCTATGACCGATAACGCAGCACCACAGGACAACACCTTTTTTTATCTCATCAATTCAACAGGGAGAGAACACTGAGTCCAGAACGTAACAAAACTAAAGCAACTACTCTCCGTTTCAAAATGGTTGGCACTCGGTTGCTTTTTGAATAACTTTTGATAGGAATGAGATAGAGACCTGCGGTTTTCGCTGTTCAATAGCCAAGACTTGAGCAGAACTTTTCACAA